CACAGCCCTGGAGCATCTGCACATCACAGAGAGGGCAAAGAGAAAAACCCCCTCTAACGAACTGCAATTATCTGAATATGCATTGCCCCTTGCTGTTTCATGTCTGGATGCACGTATGTGTACGTACATGTGTATGCGTGTACGTGCATGTGTATGTGCATGCACGTGCACACACATCTCATTTGACACAACACAGAGCTATTGCCTTATATTCCAGGATATTTTTTCTTCTGAAAACAGGCATGCATACACACATGCACATGCAGGGGTTGCCTTCTACTTGAGGTCACAGAGCAAACCAGGGGGCCCAGTCTTCTGCAGTGGGAACGCAGTGTTAGGAACCCCCACCATGTATCTGTCAAGGAGGAGCAGTGGCTATAGAGTCCAGACACTACAACTCTTCAATATCAAATGTAGGGCAAGACAGGAATATTAGGTGCAAAATGTTTTTACAGCGTTTTTCTAGAAAGGAAACTCTGCTGAACCAACTCTCCTATATTTTTTCACAGTACATACAGTATGTTTAGGTATATAGAAAGATCTGCCTCACCAGGACATCACGGACTTGGTTTATCTTGCCATCTGAGTACTTTTAGTATTGCTTGATAGTCCCTAGACTGCTCAGACCTCATATTGCTGACCAAAGGAGTCAACAACTTGTCATAACTGCAAGCTGGGCAAAGCTGAAAGATTACACAAGGTCACTTCTGAAAAAATGAGAACAAAATTCAGTTTTCTAATAAGACAGAACTAAACCTTGTTCACTGAGCCATGTCATTGTTCATGCTGTATGCTACCACTCTTCTAATCCTCTAATAACCCTTTCCCAGTATCTGAGAAAATCCCCAAAACTTGATTCCTGCCATTTCACTAACATTTCATAGATTTATTTATAGAACAGGAACATACATTGTTTCTTACAATATAAATTTAGTCCCTTTCCTCAAATAGAGGATGGCTTTGCTGGTGGATTTTTTCTTCATATTTTGAGTAATTGAAATGCTGGTTTTGAGAACAGTTTGCGGTAGAGTTTGCCTGTCTAGAAAAAGAGTTACTGTCTATGCAGGGTCAAACTATGACTTAAAAACATTAAAGCGTGGCTTTAGTTGAAGATATAACTGTGCTTGTAGCTGGGTGTTTCATCCTTGCATTTGTTTTGGTGAGCACCTCAAGGTCTGACATCTTTTGGGAGTGCTCCAACAGGTGTCTCTGAGCTCTCTCCCAGAAAGCATCAGACCTGCTCCCTGCATTCCCACATGGCTGAAGTGAGATGATTTCTTTGAACACAGAACCAAGTGACATCTAATGAACTCTTTAGATAATGAGTGAGAAAAATCCAAATTCATATCTCTAATAAAAGTTTGAGGTACTGTTACTGTGAAGTAATTTCCTTTTGACTTACTGTGATGCTCATATCCATGGTAGATACAGGAAGCAAAGGATTCATATCTCCACAGGGAGCATGTCCTTCTGGATCAGCCTTTAGGGAAATCATTAGATGAAACTGTGAGTAGTGACATTTAGATGAAGGTGAAGGAATGAAGCTGCTTATCAAAGCTGATAATAATAAGGCCTATTTGTACTTATCAGTTTGCACTGTGGGTGAATCCTCTGTTCTTACACAGCTGTTTATACTGCACTGTTCATAGTTTTGTCTTCCTTATAGTCCCAATGGGTGAAGCAGATGAAAACACCCCACAATAACCGGTCTTGGACAATATCAGAACGGGATTCACATTGGTGTTCTTGCCAAGCTGCACTAGCGTGGTGGAGGAGGTGTGCACATCGAGAGTCACTTATGTTTCCCCGCTCACACTACAAACCATCCCTCATCTTCCCTGCTCTGCGATTGCAAATCCGTTCCCCATCTACCCCACATGCTTTTGCAAACAGGGACCGACACTTGTTTCAGGCACAGGCAGATGCCCGGTTGACCAAGCCACTGTTGGATCCTACAGACCTTTGGTTCTTTATGCTCTGGGACACATGAACCCTAAGAAAGCCCTGTCATGGGTCAAGGCTTTCCCTTGGCCCTTGTGACTGTGCTACACCCAAAGTTCTCCTGCCTTGTGTTTCAGTTTCTCCCTCCTCACCTCCTCCTCACCAGGACTCATGAATACAGGCAGTGTCAACCTTCAGGCTTGCCGATGCTGGGCTGGTCTCCAGCCCTGCCAGTTTGCCCTGCCCTAAGGTGAATCCTATGAGAATTTCCATGCTCTGCAGGCATAGGCTGCACATAAAAGAAGAGGCTGATGCCACCAGAGTTCCTTCCACCTCCTTCTCCACAACAGTCTGAGCCAAGATCAGACACCTGCACCATATCAGAGAGCTAGGTTTGAGTGAGGACAGCTAAGCCAATTGACATGGGCAGGGGGGGAGGGCATGCACCAGGTCCAGTGTCATATACCACTCACTGGAGATGGGGAAGAGGCAGTCTCTGTAAGCCACAGCCTCCTGCCTCATCAGTGGGCTGCTGTGGACACTACCAGCGCTCTATCCACTTTTCCCAAGGTCAGTCCCTGTCTTCTTAGGAAGATTGTATGGGCTGAAGCAGAGTAGGGAACTAGCAAGGGGCAAGAGAAAACTTTTGAAACATCCCACAGCCTTCTCAAAAACACCTTGCCTTCTCCTGGCCATCCAGACATATATTTGTTGCCTAGAAAAGTCCTACCACCAGGACAAACCCCAGCTTTGCTAGCCTTGGCAGGAAGAAGTAACTTTGCATGCCTTGGTGAGCAGCATTGTGCTGGCTTTCCTGGGCCCCAACCCTTCCCTCCCCTATTCCCACCTTACCACCTTGTCCCATCTACTTACCACCACATCCTTTCCCTGCTTTTCTTTGGCCTTGCTTCCAAATCTTGAGGAGGAAAGGCAGATCCTGACTCTGGCTTGGTCTTTGCAGCAGGCATCACCGGGGGAGTAGCCAGTCCATATGACTTACAGTAGCCGCTAACGTGTTGGTAGTGGTAACCACTTGTGCACCAGTGCTCACCTGAGCTGCAGACGAGGTGTTTGCATGCTGTCATGGCTCCAATCATGACAGCTCAGGGAAGTGCATCCACACCACCAGAGGGGAGAAAACCCCTCTGTGGTACTGTGTGTATCACCAAGGCTGGCCTAGAGAATTGTATAGCACCCTGGCATCACTTTGAGAGCGCATCCACATCTTAGTGGGGATGGGAAAGTCAGTATAGGAGTCTGTCCTATTTTTTCTGACTATAGTGATTTATAGGCTTGAATTTATGAGGCTTGAAGAAGGGAATTAGGAGTTTCCCAAACTGTACCCAAAGAACCCAAAGTCGTAATGCTCTGTCAGAAATGGGCTGAACTTCAGACAGTGCTGTACAGAAGCTTCCACCGACTGCCACTTATTCATTTATTATATCTCTTCTCTGACTGATGCAACTGTGGTGTAAATGGACCACTTACTTTCCATTTTTCAGGCACTAAGTTAGCAAAGGAAGCCAACGCAGCTGATTAATGAAGTTCATTAATCTGAGAACATGAAACCTAGAAGAAACAAAGAACTTAAAGTAAATAAACTTCACATTTTTTAATTTATTTATCCTTTATTTAGTAATAGCACCCAAAGCTGCATTATATTAACAAAAGTAATAAAGCTTTCATATTTTATTCCTACCAGTGCATTTCCAAATCCAGGTGAAATGCTGGAAACAAGTAATGCTGCCATACCATGAACACAGGGTGTAGATCACAATGATACACAACTTACAAGTGAATCCCAATGTAATAAAATAAAGAGTTGTAGTTTAGGTATGAAACCTGCAACCTAAGGAACTGTGGCCATCTCTATTTCCACAAAGTACCATAACAAAACAGCGGCTGTAGGAACTATAAAGATTACATACTTAATCATACTTTTTGCATCACTTTATTGAATACTCCATGTTGGATGTACAACTTATAGCTATAGTGTGTGTTGGCTACAATGCTACAGTGAGAATGTGTATTGCTTGTATTACAGAAAGGGTCATGAAATGTATGGACCTGTCTGCACGTTTAACAAAATGAAACAGCAATACAATAAAACTGCACCACGTGTGAATATTGTCAATGGTTAAGTTATAAAGTCATTCATTCAAAAATCCAAATATTTCAATGAAAAAAAGTATATAAAATGTAGTAAAACATAAATTACATTTAAAGGTCTGTACATGATTCATCCTGCAAATAGAAGCACAAAACCAGCACTTTGTACAGTATTGCTTATTTCGGTCTTCTAAAGTTCAAAGATTCATTTTCACTAAAGAGGCAGGAAAAAAACATGGTTTCACATGCAATCCAGCAGTAATTGTGGTAAATCAAGTAAGTCTCTAAGCCCACACAAAACCCAACACTTTTACAATGTAGGAACATGCATGTGGAGCCCTTTTCTATACCTGATAACCAATATGCAATTAAAGTTGGATTGTTAAGTTAGTGCACACCTACAATATCCCCTACAATATCCCCATTTTTGGTTAACAGTGTATTAAGGCTGCTTGCTGCTGAAAATACATAGCAGAGAAGGAATACTTTCATCCACAAATGCAGTCAGATGATCTCTTTTGGAAGCTTCTGTCACAGTCATTCATTGGGAATGATGAAAGCAAGCCATCCTCTCTCCTCTCATGTTATTCCACAGGATGTTGTGGATGCTATAAGTTTATGTGGGTTCAAAATCATTTGGATAAATTCATGGTAGAAAATTCCATCGAGGGCTATTAAACAGAAAAAAAATTCCACTTCTGGCTTGGGAAGTCCCTAAGCCACAAATTGCTGGAGGCTGGGGAAATACCCTGGGGAAATTCTACAAGGGAAATTGCCCTTGCAGTCTTCCCTGGGCAGACATTATCGATGGCCTTTTGAGACATGCTACTGGGCTGGACAGACTTGTGGTCTGACTCAGCACAGTCAATTTTATGTTCATTTTCCTTACTTTTCTGTTTATCGTAATACAAACACGGATCAGTATTCTCAACTTGTTATTTTTTCAGACTCAAAAAGCAAACAACAATCTCGTGTCCATTATATCAAAGAGATAAATACTATAAACTAAGCTGTCCATCACATCCAGGGCACTTCTTTACGCTCAGAGCAATTCTGCAACCATAGTTGGATTCCTTTTTGTGTTATTGGTTTAAGCATAATTCACTAACATTACACTCACATATCATGATATACATGAAGTGCAATGCTACTCTGCAATACGTTGCACAGCAACAGTACATAACTGAAAAGCAGCTTCCCTCAAGAACTGTAGGACAGTAAAAAAGATTAAACCCAGCAATTCTATACCATCATATTTGCAAAATCTGATGGTGGCAATGGTCAATAAACCCCGTATATGATTACTGCTGCACTTTACATAGATGTAGGTTTTTTAGTTTTCTTTCTTTTAGTCAGATCAAAATCACTGCTATTAAGCCTAAGGATCTACAGTCTCCATGCATGGAAGTGATGTGATTTTTTTAGTAAGAGGCCAAATTCCTTAGGCTTCTGATTGAATTTCTGCTTCGTCCATCTGAAGTGTGTCATTATCACCCAGCAATTCTGTTTCAGGCACAGAGCCCTCCTCTTCCTCCTCCTCCTGGACGGGATTCTGGGCGATGTCTTCTGTTCCATTGTGTGTGTCATCTGTGCCCTCCGAGAGCAGAGCAGCCCTGTCAGCCACCGACGCATTGGAAGGTGCTGTTGTTACGTAGCCTGTGCTGGTGGATCCGCTCCCACTGTGGTGAGAGCCTGGTTTGGGAATGATCTGGGGAGGCATTTGCTGAGGAGCCATTTGCATTGGAATTTGGACGGGATAAAAATTTGGCAAGTAAGCGCCATAGGCCGGCATTGGCTGGTAACCATTGACTGGAATGTAGAGCTGAGGAGGTGGGACCATCGGTCTCATCTGCCCTTTCATTTGTATGAACTGCGGTTGAGGGAAAGCTGGAGTTTTCTGCTTTGGTCCAATGTACCTAGCATTGCTGACGTTGCTAACAGGGCTTGTGCTGAGAGAACTTGTTTGTGTGGTGTTGCTTGCCCCAGAGGTTTGCGCCGAGCTGTTGTAATTAGAAAGGTTTCCCCATGTTCTTAGTCTGTTGTGTATATCTTTAAATCTTGGTCTTCTGTTGGGAAATTCATTCCAACACTCCAACATCAAAGTGTATATCCATGTGGGGCAGTCGTCAGGACATGGCAAAACCTGTCGGTTCCTGATCATCTCGATGACATCCTGGTTAGAATAACCACAGTAAGGCTGCAGGCCATAGCTGAAAACTTCCCACAACACAACTCCATATGACCATATATCTGAATCAATAGAAAACTTGCCATACATAATAGCCTCAGGGGACATCCACCGGATAGGAAGAAGGGAATTTCCCATCAGCTTGTAGTAATCAGCAGCGTAAACTTCCCTGAAAAGGCCTAAATCAGATATTTTCACATTCAGTTTATCAAACACCAGTATATTTCTAGTGGCCAAGTCCTTGTGGACAACATGGTGGCTTGAAAGGTATTCCATTCCTGCAGCTATCTGAGTCACAATGTGGAAAAAGTCTGCTGGTTCCAGAGTGGATTTTACTGTCTTGTCATCGTCAGTGCTGCCAACATCTGAATGGGGAGATCTCATCACCAAGAACTCATGGAGGTCGCTGTGGGAACAATAACTAAATATCATGCTTATGGGTTGTTCCTTCGTCACTATTCCCAGCAAACAAACAATGTTTGGATGCTGTAATCGTGATCTCATCATTGCCTCATGTTTGAATTCTTCCCGAAGAGCCAGTTCTGCTTTGTCTTTAAGTGTCTTGATAGCAACAGCTTGCGTCTGTTCACCTGGTGCTGTACCAAAAAGATGCCCCTTGTAGACTTTGCCAAATCTCTCTTCTCCTAGTTCCTCCATAAACCGCACAGTGGACAGATTGATTTCTTTAAGTTTAGCCTAAAATATAGCAAAGAAGATAAATAAGTCAGTAAAAAAGATCAGAATGTTTTCTAAACAACAGAATCTCTTATTAAAGAAAAGCTCCCAGTCGTAGATGCTCCAAATGGAAGATAAATTGGGCCAAAATGACTATCCAGTTTTTTGTATATTCACATCAGTATATTGATTTTACAGTTAATCTTGAAATGAGTTATACTATTATCAGAAGTGTAAATTGAATTATGCTGCAAGATGATGAGTATAATTATTTTTACAAAGGAGCAATCATATTTTCTGCAAGCTAAAGGAATAATTGGTTCAGAGTAAATCTGGCAAACAATGACATCTATTAACTGCAGGTGCACTTGCCCTACAGATCAATCCAGAGGTGCCCACTGGAGATCTGTCAGAAAAGCTGTGGGCACTGGCTGAGGAGGTGGCAGCCTTGGGATGAACTGAAACATCTCTTCCAGCAGAAGGAGGAACAAACCCTGTCTCTTTCGGTTCTGCAGTAGCAGATATGCCCTTTCTCCTCTGTTCCACTATAGGAATGGCCCCTGCCTGTGGGCAGCAGTACACAGTACCCCTGCTGAGAAACCTCACACTAGCTCTGATGAAGAAGGGGGTGGAAGGGGAGCAGAAGGAAGAAGGAATTTCTCCCCGCTACGTGAAGGAAAAGGTGGCAAAGCCAAAAGTGAGAAACCCCCAGAGCCTCCCTCCTGCAGCTGGCAGGGAAAGCAAGGGAGTTTGTGATGGTCATCTAATGGGTCTATCCCGACCAGCATGGGCTGGAGGAGTCTCTGACCAAGCCAGATGAAGCCGGCACAGCTTCACACACAGGCCACTGCAGCAGGAGGGAGCAGGACAGGCTGGAAAAAGGCTTTAACAGGTGATTTGGGAACAAGCTCTGATTTTGGTGGCCAACAGACTGTGGTCTGGACCAGGCAGTTTCCAGCATAGCCCACACTCAGCCATTAAACCTCCCCCTTACCACACAAAATCAATGCAATTTGTTACAACCAGTAATATTCTGCAAATATTCTACAGTTTCTGAACAGATGTTGCCAATTGTTTCAAGTTGAGCATTGTTTTTTAGAGCTTGCATCTTGTAAATGCTGTGATTAGAAATTCAACATTAGCTCTGAACAGGATTTTAGCTCAGAGATCAGTTAGTTGACCCAGAAAATCGTATGCAGGAGCTGAGATCTGTAGACAGAAGTTCAAAGCCATTTTCATTTCACCATCCTTTGTGATACACAGCCTTAGAAACATGTTGCACCCCGGCTCAGCTCCCCACTCGGTGGTGGTTCAGAATACCAGCAGACTGAGCCGATGGATTAGACAAGAAATCCCACTGTGCATTCTGCTTTAAACAAGCAAACTGTCCGCGTCATTACCAGGAGCGAAAATGAGCTGCAGGCTGAAGACTGGATCAGAAATAACACTTCCAGTCAGTAAGACAACAGGCAGAATGGGGATTGACAGGTAAGGACAAATGTCATAAAATACTTTGTCCTGAAAGCTGTTGCCTGAGGCCAGGATTTTGAGATACAGCTAGTGAGTGTGAGACCTGGTTTTCACTGAAGCAGATGGCCAGCACAGTACGAAAATTAGGTCCCTTAGAACACAGCTCAATTCTAACACTGACAACCCGAGACACTGAAAATCACGACACCTTGGAAATACGTGGCCTAAGCAAATTCTGGAAAAAATACCTGTTTGTGTTGATTAATGAGTGGCATTTCCATGTCCTGGCTAGGAGATGCCATTAGCTGGCGGCGCTGTGGTGTAGCAGCAGATGCCTTCTGCTTGTTTCTGCACATACAGACCAGGAAGAAAAGGCAGGCAATAACCAGAGGGATGGCTATGCTGGGAACCAGGATGTAGAGGATTCCCATTTTACTGCTGTCACGTGGACCTGTCAGGTGCAGAAATGTTCATTGTTTACAATATGTATTTTTAATACCTTCAATACTAAAGCAAAAAAAACCCCAAACAAATCCAACCCCCCAAACTACGGTATGATTATTAATACTATATTTTAATGCTATATTTTAAACATAAACTCCTATAGCTTGAAAACAGAAGTCACATTACCGTCTCCCCTTCTCCATAACCTTCCATTAAATATTCCAAAGAAACTTGAATGGACATAGCAACTAGCAGTATGATGATAAACTAGGAGCCCCACATTTAATGTGTTGACTGTAACAGTATGTGGTTTATTTCACTTTATTTTTGAGGCTTCTGGTTGTGGAAACTGCAGAACATAGGCCAGAGTATCATTGCATTATCTTGTTCAGGGGAAAAAAAGCAAGTGAGTAGTCTTCATCACAGTATATAAAGCAGTGAACTCAATGTGATAAACCACAGGACAACATTGCAGTCTGGCCTTCTCGCCCAACTTCAGCCATTTCATCAGCACTTTGCCCACTTTTTACCTCCACTGGTACTATTTCTGCCTAGAATAAAATAAATCTCACTTCTCACTGGCAGAGATATTATTTGTTCTGTACTTAATAGAATTAAAGTGCTTTTATCTTACAGTGAGACAGACATGAAAGAGCCAACCATACACTTAATAAGACTGTTCTGGAACCTTCCTAAAGTGCTTTTTTCTTGATACTTGGAGACTCTAGGAAAGCATAATGATGTCCAAAATGTTCACTGGAACAGCCTGGGACGTTTTCTGCAGTCGTGGTTTTGCTCTTTGTGGCTGCTGCTTTCACCACAACCACATCCCAGTGTTATCTTTACACCATGTTACATGCAACATAGAAATATATTATAAATGTCAAATCATGTTACTGTAAATAAGTGAAGTAACTAAAAAATTTCATGTCAATTTTGAGTGCTCTTAAATATCCATGCAATCTGTAACAAAACCTCTTTTATGGCTTCCATGATACATCTGTTGCTGCAGGAAACATGCTTTTCTTCCTAATGAAGCACAGTACTAAGCTGCTTTGTCGTGTCCAAAGACTGTCACCACTGTAACAGCTCTAGACTGAAGACTGTGCCAATACAGGGAAGTGAGTGGGACAGTATTAAGCTGCGTGCTTTTTATTTTTGCTGTCAGTTGTGCAGTACAGAGCCACTAGCAGATAGTGTAGGACTTTTCTGATAAGATCATCTGTTTTATGACGTCTCTGCTTCTGCACGCCACATGGTTTCCTTCCAACCAAGCATGGTGCTCTATCTCCCTCTAGAGGATCTGAAAATCCTTGCTGCCTGCAAGTTGCCATACAGAGCGAAAGCAATATGTAGGGTGAGCAAACCAAATACATACAGGTGATAAGTACATCAAGTCTGGCATTTGACAAATTAGAATACAAACTACAAATCATCGTTAATTATTATCTAAGCTTAAGCACCCAATATGTAACAAAAAAGTGTCACTATCTCAGTTACAAGCTCTGATCTCCAGAAAATATTAAATACCTACAACACAAGATAAGGGTGCCGCATTATAGCAAGTGAAACATTTGAAAGCATAACCACCTTAAGTGAATTGTACTTGTAAAAATAGGGAAAATTCAAAATCACACAGGACTCAGGACAGTAGTAGGGGAAAAAAAGAAAGAGAATACATACTACAAGAAGGTATGTCACACAGTTCCATGCGTACGTTTTTATTCTTTGTAAAACACCAGGGCCCATCCATCTGACCTCCAGGATTTCGGCAATATGCATGTCCTCCACCTAGCTCTGGAAACTGTGTGCTTGTCAGATCATGGTTGTGCGGACTTTGGGAGTCCCATAGTTGGCAAGTGTGGCCAGACTTGGTAACACTGACCGTCCCTCTGTAGTCTGCTCCAGAACCATTATAGCACTGATGATCTGCAAGACAGAGTTTGACAAAACGTTGCAAATAACAAAACAATCAAGTCCAGCAAGACCAAAAAGTTGAAGTGCATAGACCATGTATGCAAAAAGTACTTGAATTTAGGTACTTCAGGATTTAAATGAAAGCTGTGGGTTTTGAAATTTCAGTTCTGCAGGTATCTGTACTCTTACACCCAGATATCTGGATTCTGCTCTTGAGCGTCTCAGCTCTATGGCTATACATACCAATATCTGGTAACTCTGGGTGCAAGTTGATACTAAGAAGCATGGATGGACCTTTTGATACAGGACAAGGTAAGTTAAACTAAATTAGAGATCTGAGTTTTACTTCAGGAAAAGTCTTCAGATGCCAACAGTGTAAACTTCCTGTCACTTTTATTTCTCATAATCTTCCTGTCTTCCTCAAACTGCTCACTTCCTAGAGAAACTAGTGCTGCATTTCCTAATGCCCCTTGCCAATTTTTCCTTCTTTTCTTGTTTAGAAAGAAGGGATTCAGGCTTTTCTTCTCTTTAGATACATCACTTTCATACCTGCTGACCTCCTATCTTTATTATCTCTCTGTTTTGTTGCTATTGTCTCTTCACACTTCTTGAGTGCTTGTCTCTCATATGTATCACCTGAACTGAATAATGCATTTTCCTGCACATTTGCAACACTAGCTTCTCCACTTTTCTGAGTTCCCCTCCCCAGAACTCAGGAATCCAGCTCTCTCAAAGCCCTTCCTCCACATCCCCAGGGTATTCACATGGAGGCTGTTCCACCAGAGGGAGAACCACTGGCTCTGAGGACCATGAACTACTTCAGCCAGACTTTTTGTTGTTTTTATTCTCATTCTTTTTGTTTGATAGCTCTTCCCTGGCTGATTTGTCTCTGTCATTGTCTTTGAAGCTACACTAGGTTATTGCCTTACTAGCACAGAGTCTTCCATGTCCGCCAATATGCCATGACCCCTGCTCCTAGCTATGGGTTCAGACAATGGATATTCAGAATAATCTTATCACACCTTGAACATTAAACATCTTTAGTCTGTTGGAACTTCCTTGTTGAACATTGTAGGGGATGGTGATTAATTGCTAGGAAACGGAGTAGGCAGAAAAAGTGTCAGCACATAATTACTGACAACGGAACAGCCCTTCTACTCCCGGATACAAATATAAATTCATGTAAGCGAGATCAATGTTTTCACCCATCCTGTGTGAGTGAAGAACGACAATTACACTCCATGTTTGATTTACAGGGTTAATATTCTTGTGGATTTCCATAGAGAAAGAATGAACATTAAATGTTTAATTTCTTAACAGATTTTTCCAGTGAAGCTTCCAGAGCCTATTCGAGGTTTATTGATAGGTAAACAGAAGTCAGAAATAGCTGTATGGGGGACTCATCCAGAAAGGCAAGGACTGAGCCAGAGATGGGGGCAGGCTTGTGGGAAGGGAAGCCTGCAACACACTGCTGCCCCTCACTAATCTGAGTCAAATTGGTTGTGTGAACACAGAGTTTTATAGCCCAGGGTGGTTAATATAACCCTTTTCAGTACCAAGCAGCATCCTTTAAACTGTCTCGCCATCCTAACTATACCTTACAACAGTGCAAAATTGTGGTCAGTATTAACGTGATAAAAAGTAGTAACATCCAGTATAGCAGTACTTCTTTTAGAAAAAGAATGACTGATAAAATATTGTGTCTCAGACCCAACCTGAGGAAGCAACAAACTCTACTTTTTCCCAGTGATGAAACACCCAGACTTACATCGGCTGAGTCTCTCCACAGGGATCCCAATCCTTATGCAGTTGGCAGCTTCCAAGGTGTCAGGTCGTGGGAGATCCTCACACTTAGGCAACTGAAGCTGCATCAAGATGAGGGGGTTTGACCTAGCAATGTTGTACTCTTGCCTACAGAGATCGTTCTCCAGAACTTCACATTCATCCCGGCACAGCTCCCGCGGCTTAGGGGTCCGAGAGCGCTCATCACACAGGGGAAACACAAAGTGGCAGAACGATGGTATAGCAAACTGTGAGCACTGATCAGACAAATGTGTGGAAGTGCCAATCATGGTAAATGCAGCTGGAAGGGAACAAAAATACTGCTTATGTATTAATGCACAAAAAGCATGAGAAACAACATAATTTTCATGTCATTTGCCTTTTACAGCTTTCATCTTTTCTTGAGCATCTGAAAGCCTACCGAGCAGTGGGGAAATGAATTCATTTCTGCTGCAAAGGAGAGTTGACAAATGCAGACAGCAAATCCAGCATCCCAGTGTCCCTCTGACGTCTGCACAGAGCTTGTAGGACCTTGGTTCTTAGGAATGTACCCAAGTGACTAGCATTGAGCAAACTGTTGGTGCTTGACTAATTTTAACTTGAAAGGATACGGAGCAAAGGCAAGACACACCTGCCAGGATGCTGACATGAATTTCCAAAGTGCCAAATTAGGTAAAATCTGAACGAGGATCACCTAGCTTCTCCCTTCTGTAGACATTTTGATCAATAAACAAGACAAGTGTTTTTCAAGTCTTGACAGGCAAAATGAAGTGTGCCATTGGTATTTGGGGAGATATTGCTATTAATAGACATGAGAAGCCTAACAGGCAGCAGTTTTGGGAAAAATGAATGTAATCAATCTCAGCATACTGATCACATTAAGATGAATGTCATAATGAATTAGGAGCTTAATCCTCCCCTTCAGCTCTCAGCATCTACACACTAACATTTATCTGCAAGTTTTCTTACACATTGCAAAAAAAAGACAAATGTGCATGTTCATCATGTACTGGGGATGAATCAAGCTTTAAATGTAGGAACATTCATTCCCACACTGGAAAGCGTCATTTGTGAGTGAGGCTTACTAGACTGCACATTCCACTAATGCACACTGTAAAAAGGAAATGAGCAATTCCAAATCATTCAGCAGTCTATTTACAACCTACAGATCAATTCTTTGCCTCTTGTCCAGCTCCCTACTTTCAACCATATACTTCCTGCTGCCACCTGCTATCAGGGAGTCTCCTGCCTCTTCCTAAACGCCACACGTGCAGCAAGCAGCCCCAGCTCCAGCCCTTTGTACTGTTTACACCTTTGCTTATTTTAATACAAGAATATTAACACAATAATATAACCATTTATCAGTCATATAGGGAACACTGCATGCAAGCATGGTATCAGACCTCAAACAACAGCTGTGACGTGCTTGTCCTGAAGACTAACAGGGAAAAAATAAACTTGGATGAATGAAACAGTCACTGTTGGGTATTTGAAACACCACACTAATTTCTGTGAAGGCATTACAGAATTTAGATCAGCATGAGCAAAGTGTGCACAATTCACAACCATGTCTTTATTTTGATGGGAGATGCAAAAGCCAGCAGGACTGTGTGGTGGCATCTAAGGGGTTTTTAAGTTATTAAACTGATATTAAACAGCACAGCAAAGACATTGCTAGCCACACATATCCACAGGTCAGGGGTCAGGTCCATGCACTCTTTATTGCTGGTCCTCCAGTCTTTCAAGTCATGTGTCAAGTTTTTCTCCAGAAACGTCCTTCTTTTTTTAATAGAAGGCTGCAACTCTCACCTAACCACATGGCCAGGACCGAACAGCACCAGGGGTCATAGAGACAAAGGGAATGTATTTCACACATCAGCACAGCAGGGAAATGAAAATCTGGAATGAAAATTCCTCACAGAAGTTGCCTGTAACCCTGTTAAATGTTATTGGCGTCGGGCAGTAGGTGTCACCATTTCCCACGCACAGACTCCCCTGAACGTCCTACAGCTCTTAAGCACAAAGACCTTCCACCAAAAACTGTGCTTAGGAAGTATGGGCAAAAGTATAAGCAAAATCTCAGCAGCAGTTATATAGCAGATTTTTTTTAATCTAACAAGTTACCGCAATTTCAAAAATACCCCATCATTCGGACAGAGAACACCCAGTCTTGCAATACTTGTTTCACATACAAGAAAACTCTTAAGAACCAAGTATGCTGTGAAGTCCTCAGGGTTATTTTGCATAAGACATTTGGTATGTCTTTCAGATGTATATACTTAGAAGATTATTAATGGATTATCATTACCACCTGGCTAGGCATGGGGCAGCTCTACATGGTCGTTCACAGAGTTTTCCTAAAAAAGAATGATTCCATCAGAAATTCTCCTCCACTCCAGGATAGAGAGTCCCAGCCTCCGAAATCTAACCAATAATCAGTGATGTTAGGCATCCAGCAGCCAGGTCGTGAATGTCCATGTTGTATATTCCAGAAACAAGTATAACTTGATCAAGAAACATTTTCTGGAAGATATCACAGTTTTTTGGTTGTTTATTTATTTTTAGAAGGACATTATAGACCTAATCCACGGAGTTACAGATGTAATTATTTCAGATAGCTGAACATTTCCATGTTGCTGAAAAACATCCAAATAGGATAGAGATTATGTTGTAGAAAAAAATGGTATCATTAGTCTGTATTAATTAATGACATAATGGTAAAAGAGGCTGGAATTACAACAGAGCACAGGAGAAAGGAGGGAAGGGAATGAGTTGTTACTGCACAGGGAAAGGTCAACACCTGGATTTTGCCGGTCCCAGAATCTGATTGCTATTTCAAGAACAGAAAAAAAACCTGACCTGGATTTCTGGCTTGACAATGAGTCTTTAATGTAATATCTTTAGGGAGACAGAGGGGACAGGTGAAGTGAAACTCTTTTTGGCAACTAGTTATCTTAAAATTGCAGATCAAATTAGTTAGCCATATCTGGCCAGATGCAAATGAGCTCCTGCTGGAATGAGTTAACTGGCCATATATTACAATAAACAGTTTGCTTTATTTCATGGATTCATTCACTTGCTCTGCTTGTGTATATCAGAGTCACAGTTGCTAATGTCAGCTAAAACTGAGGTCCAGTGAAGAAAACCCATGTTGATGTACAGCCCATTAAAACTCATTAAGGTTTTGGATGCATGTTTGTGACTCTGTACCAAAATGATGATCAGAGAAACAATCAGCAGGGGCAGAGCACAGGAAGGTCAACTCTTGTTTTATATAAATAAATGTGAAATCCAGACTCTGCCAAGATTATGCAATAGGGAAGGAAACCCAAGAGAAAAGCCACCATACACTTTTCAAGAAAGTAAAAATCAGTAATTTTTTTGTTACTTCACAAAATTATTTTTAAAAAAAAATCTTCTTTTTGCATCCATCATGCAAAAAGTTCCAGTATAAACTCCAAGTTGTTATAAAGTTAATGCTCTGACATTTTACTCAAGGACATGGAAGAAGCTTCTACACATTACAGCAGATATTTATCTTCCTTGCTCCCAATTTTGTTAACAGCACAAATGGGAAACTGGCTCACCTCCTCTAAACCTTAATTAAGGATGTCTTAGTCATTGACCAATAAAACTAAAAAGGGTGATAGCACTATTTATATTTTAATTGGATACTTTCATGGATGTTTTTTGCCCTGCTACAGAGATATATAAGCTTACCAGTAATTCGGTTTTCAATTTCCCCTTGCATCTGGAGGGAGTCCACATAAATGGTCCTGTTTCCAATGATTCGTGCACACGCAATTCCCCTGTAGGGCTGACAGAACCCATCTTCATGGTAATCTTCTCTGCAAAAGACAGGTTAGGATTTTATAAGCAGATGTCTAGCTGTCCCTGATGAATTTTTACAAAATTAATTCTTAGAAAAGCAGAAAACCCCAAAAGACTGTAAATCTGAAATTGTTCCATTCCCCAGGTGCAGCTTTCTCCTCCAATTCTCTCTACACTACCTTAGAAGTATTAACAAGGCACCCTGTAAATAGCTCATTAGAGAAAGAAGTAAACCAAATCCCAAGATTAATTTAAAAATCATATGCTAATGGTAATGGGATTTGACAGATGAATCTATTAAAACGCCTTTCGACTGAGACAGAAACATAGATCTTGTAACATGTCCCCATGCATTTTTGGCATCTAGCTGCACCCAGTACAATTAGGCACACAGTAGGTTCTCTTCTCCCACGTCTCTCTCCCTTTCTTCATTTCCTGTAGTGAACAGCAGAAGAGATCTTGCCAAGCTTTAATTAAAACAGAATAATTTTGAACTCTGAATTAGGTAAACAGAATAAAAAGTAATCAAGGTTTTAACCTCTTTTCCTCTTCTCTTTACTCAGAGTCAATGCCAAATTCCTCTTCCAACATACATTTTAATACATTTGTCAGCACAATGAGGCTTTGGGCCAAATTTTACTCCCTTACTTCAACATAAATACTTTGGCGTAAAAGCACTGGCCTAAAGGCTCAGTGGTTCAATGCATCATTCCCAAAGCCCCAGTAAATAACACAGAGCTGATCTGTAGATCGTAACTGTCTGAGCACTGAAAAGGGTCTTCAGAATGAAAGCGTCCTCAGAGTCAATATCCAGGACGCCATGTGTTTCCTCTGGCACGGCACAGCCTCTGTGCTAGAATTCACTAGCCTGATGGATTCACATCATGTCATTCACTGCATGATGGGCCATAAGAGGCGTAAAACATAATGTAGAAAACCATGACTCTGGAGAAATCCTAAGACACCCAAAACCTTAATCACCTTTTGTAACTAAACAGTCAGTTCAAAAGCCTGAGGTACCTCTCCAATACCAGTGATTTTTCAAGTATTAATTCAATAATCTTCTGCACTTTGTACTTTATTATCTCTGGATATCAATTCCTGTTTTGGTCACCCATGGTTCCACTTCCCTTACAAGTACCTTCACCCTTCCTTGGAGTGCCACAGGAGCAGGACAAAACTGTCAGTGATTACATGTAAAACCACATAACTTCAGCTGGGCCTAATCAGCGCAAAAACCTGCTGCCTGATAACAACTATCCATGATGAGCACATCACTCTACGCAGTGGCGATGGCAGCCTGTTATTTCTGATGTCTTATTCTATCTTAGGAACCTCTTTTCACTTTTACTCTGCTGTGTCTCCCTGATAAAGCTCATCTCTTCAGGGAAATGTTACCACTATTTCTTAAAGTATAAACTCTTTGGCAGCAAAAGGTTGGGCAGGACTGTCCATGCAGTGTAGCCAAAAGCTGGAACCATCGATCATCACTTGAGCAGCATCTCGCCCCTTCCTCCCAGGAAGACAATGACGTAACAGGACCTGATCCATCACACAGCTGCTAGATAAACCATGCTGATATGAAGTGTCTCATGCAGTTGTTGTCCAGATCTGGCTTTTATTTCCTATCACAGTATGATTGTTAAATATTCATAAAGCAACATTCTGTCTACAAACTCTGAAAAAAGTTCTGCTTCCACAAAGATATGTAAGTTTTTGATTATGGTGGATGAAGTAAAGGAGGAGTCTTTCAGGATCAATTAATTCCTGCAGTGAAATTCTTTCATAACAAACCCTCTAATTTTGCAACAATTCCATCATGCCTGAAGGGACAAAAATATCAAAGGATTTTGTCTGTGCCTGTTTCATGATCCTTGACCACCTCAGTAGGAAGTCAGCAATTCCCATAAGGAGCTGAATGAACATGAAACCTCTGTTTGACCTCTTTCTCAAGAGTAAATTCATACTCCTATCCTGCAGAACAAAGCCTGCAATATATCTAACTGAAACTGTACCTCACACTTCAACTCTCAGTGCAGGGCTCTCTTGCCAGCACCAAACCCCCCCCCCAAAAAAACCAAACCAACCCTATAAAAAATAGCACTCCAAACAGCATGGGTTTGGTGACAAAAGCAGTGTGATCTCTTACTTAGCTCAGTTTATTTATTTCTGACAAGAACTTCTAAATACAGCTTAGATACTATATATACACACATATGCTCCCCTCTCCTACGTTATAGCCAACTGCTGATTAAACTAAACTGGATATGACCATTACCATGGATGCAAGCAAAAGTAAACAGTAACCTGATGTCAGAGACTCTGACAGAAGCTGGGCTGTTATTCTACATACATCTTTCTCAGGTCAGGAAACTCAGTGAATACAGTTTCAATAGTACTAGTGATCAAGGGGACAAAATTACATTAGTCTTCTTAGGAAAACAGTTGATTTCAACAAAGCTGCAGAAGTGGCAGCAATAAATTAGTCTTTGCCTCGGCTACATGTACACTCAGCACATGGCAAAACATCCGCAACAAGCAACCTGGGGGGAATCTGATAAAATAGTGCAGAAGCGGCATCATGCTCAGTTCAAACAGGAGTCTTTGGAACCATGTGCAGCTTTGATTCATGCTCCAAACCATATGCCAGCAATTCAGTTGCTGATCAGAGCAAGAGTTAAAAGCTGCTGAAAATAGGCAGAAATACTGACTCTTCAATTTCCTGCTGCTTGAGCTGTAAAGTCTGCTCTGATCAAGAACCCTGGTAAAAGCAGAAATCTGACTCCACAAGAGGAATCCAGAAGAGTTCAATTTGTTCCACTTGCAGAGATCTTACAAGCTAACCGCTGTAGGTACTTTTTTACCTTTGTTCCTTATTGTTTCTTTCTGAATATTTCAAGATGGCATTACCTTTTCTCTCTAGGGATTTTCTTCCATTTTTATATAACTATTTTTTTTTTTACAAAACAGAGTCAGGAACATCCTAAGTGTTGACCTTCTTTTTTCACCCTTGCTGGAGGGCAGTCTCAAAGACAGTGCACCTGGAACATGAATTTTCTCAGCACTCAATCAGAGTGGAGGTAAGGTATATTATCCTACTGAGAGTACTCTCCTCTGAGCTACTTGTCAGATGTTTGACCAGAGTCTGGAATCAGAAACAAAATCACAAAGAATCTGACTAAACAGACCCTCTATTCCTAAACCCCCAACTTCCATTTGTTAGGATGAATGCCATTAGTTTTCTAGGCCCATAAGGTGATCTGCCTCAACAATAAAGTTAAGAACTAGCCTTTCTAATATAAAGCTAAAGCAGGAGAATCTTTTATTTTGGGCACATACAAATAAAACCAAAACACCAATACTACTTTTATGTACAACCTGGGGTGTCTCTAAGATTGACCAGGCTTACCACATCTGGACACATCTTAAAGAACCAAGCACTGATAAGATATTTACAAGTTACTTGTCACACATGCACTGCACCACCTGATTAAACACAGTCTGCCTTCAGGTTTGTGGGCAGAAGAATTCTGTATGAAATGGAGAATTAACGAAACAAACAATGTAGAAGAAAGATGCAGTCTCAGTGGTACGGTGCCAGTTCAATCTTCTCCCACTGACAGCAATCATAACTTCCAGGGACATCTGGGTCTATAAAGGAAGCACTGGAAGAACAAGGCCCCACCCAATAGGAATAAAACCCAGCATGCATGAATAGGAATCTCTCTAGATGGAGGTCATGCAAGACTTTCATAAGGTAGATATCTGCTCTAGAAGTATATGGAGAGATTTCTTGGCATGCTGCATGTGCTGCAAAAACATACTGAACATCACCACCCCCATCCTCACACTAAGCATTACTTTAATTTCACATGTGACACAGAAAGGACACTGAAAAAAGGCTACAACAGAAAATACTTAGGAAACAAAGACGCTTTTCTTAACAGAAGATCTGAAATGCTGAAAGCATACATCTGGGCACAATACACTATGTGGTATCTGTGTAACACAATCTACTGTATGCAATGATCACAGCTGAACAGTCCAGAGGGCACATGAAACAAAAAGTCCCAGTAAATAAAAGGCAACCATGGAAACTGTTCAATCCTAAAATCACCTTGTGACGCACATAAGTCTGATCAGAACTTCCAGCATGTATTTGGTGTCCCTGAAAACACAGTGAGAGCAGACCTAATGGTTTTGCTGAAAAATAGAGAAAACACATGAAGGCATAATAATCTTTAGCAAGGGTTCACAAGGGAATTCTGAAAGCAAAGTTGAGAGGTACTAGAAATTTATTTGCTATTAAGATACCTTTTTTCTGACTGCATCCCACAAACTTAACTTACAAAGACAACAGAAACTTGTAAGTTAAATCTATTTTCCTGAAAATAGAAGAGACACAACACTGTGCATCAGCCATAAAAAGAAGCTCGGAAATCCCCCAGAAAACTCAAAAAGAAAACCTCTTTTGATTGAATACATTAAAAATCCCAACAAATTTAAAAGTACCCTACCAACCTACCCTTGTAATAAAATGAACAGAAATGTTATTTAAAATTAGAATTTGAGAATAATTTATTTTAATATATTCAAATAATAAATTTAGAAGTTATTTGGAGAGATATATCCTCAGCTTACACCTTACCAAAGTAAATGATACTAAGCCAATTCATAGAATATAACAGGATATTCCAGACATTAATTTTTAAAAACATAGTAGAAACTTTGTTACAGCAGTTTCCCACAAGCAAACTAAGTGCAGTTAAAATTTCCTATGAATTTTTCCACAACAAATAAGAAACATGAAGTTTTGACCCCCCTTCATATTGTCCAGGAATTAAACAGCTTTTAATTAAAAACAGTTTAATGCTCAGAGAGGATATTAGAACTCCTCCTCATATTCCATTACAAGGGGAGTGGCAAAGCAAGGACAAATGCACAGAAAACCACAGTTAAGACAGTGACAGATGAAGGAAAGGACAAATGATTTGTGTCTTCCTATTTGCTATGGGTG